CAAATCATTAGTTTTTTTTATCTTGTACGATGTGCTTCTTTCCTTTGGGAAGTTTACTCAAACAACCTTGGAAAATTTGATTTTGACTAAAGTGATGCCCTTTGAACAAAAAAAAAAAAGACTAAAGTGATGCTCATTTTTGATAATTACTCAAACAACCTCCTTTGATTTGAAGATTTAAAACGTATTTACAAACCTGCCATTAATAAGACATGACATATAGGCAAAATTGGTGGGAAAAGTTCCCGCCAAAAATGTCTACCGTTCTAGTGATGGTAAATATATTTTATGACTAATAGATTTATGATGGGATTGGTAGACTTATTTTTTAGTCCGTAGACTTTATCGACGAATGATAGATTTAATATTCGAATGGTAGACTTATTGTGTAGACTTATTAAATTTAGTGGTAGAGATGTTTTTGAGTGGTAGACTTAAATTATGGGTGGTAGAGTTAACGCTAACGGTGGTAGATTTGTTTTTGAGTGGTACACTTAGTAGTCGAAGTAGATTTATCTTGGTAGACTTATTATTGAGTTGTAGATTATTTTGTTTGATAGTATACTAAATACTCGTGGTAGATTTAAATTCATGGTTGGTAGAATTACGTATGTTTCGGATCGTAGACTTATTTATAGTAGTGATAGATTTATAATGAATAATAGACTTATTATTGACGCGATAGAGTTATTCAAATTTTTCCGAGTTTACTAAAATAACCTTTAGTTGGTAGATACATTTTGCAACTTGAACAAAACTCTCTTCCAATCCTTTTCAACTTTATCTCATAACCACAATCAAGCGGTAATTTCACTAAAAACTAAATCGAATTAATTTTCTTTTGTTTTGTAACGTTTCATACGAATCAAAATTTTCTATAGCCGAACTGAATCAAACCGTAATTTTATTCAATGTGTAAGGGTTAAGGCTCCCCTCTTAAAGTTTACTCCTTTTAGTTTGCTAAAAAATAATAGTTTTAGTGGCTTGCATACTTTTTTTTATTGTTTACCTTACATATTAATGTTTCGAATCTTTTAATTTGCCGAAATTATAAATGGTATTTCTATATACTCAC